ATCCTCCCATCCAAATATTTTAAGGCTTTTAATTAAACCTATTGGGCCAAAACTATTCTCGCCTAATTAATTTATTTGGACAATCCAAATAAATAATCTTAGATAATTTTAGGCGGTCCATATTAAGAAACAATTTCGCAAAACACCTTTTAACCTAAATTAAGAAATTCATTTCCATTTTAGGTTATTTACTTTCAAATTTGGAACCAACTTCCAAATTAGAAAACTGATTTTTAAAATAGAAAACTTTTCATTTTAGAAAACTTCCATTAATGAAAACTTCCCATTTCAGAAACCTTTTTCAAAATTGAAAACTTTTTTCCAATATCTTTGTTTTTCTTTAATCATATGAATAGTTAAACTTATATGTGTGACTCAATAGACTCCTAGATATGTTGGCAATGTATCAAGAATAAAAGACTCCTATTTTATCTCTTGATACATAAATCAAGATTGGCCTCAAGCAAGGAATCACGACTACCCAATTCTCTAGGAGGATTAAGTAATCCATTATTACCTTTCACGAGCATGATTATCATACAATTCAGTCCTCATGTCAACTTATCACGAGTGTAATCTCAAACTTGATAATAAGTTTTATTCGATTATGATCACATCATTTTTCTTCGATTATCAAATATCTTAGCTCTTAGAGTAAATCAACTATGTTTTATTGGTCTACTTATATTGTGGTCACAAATTTCTCGAACAAACATTCATTGAAGTACAATGTGATAACTCTTTTACCATATAAGGAATCACATGTCATATCTTAGTCATACACCCACCTCTATTAGATTCCTAGTGCACCAACGAGTCACTCACGTGCAACCCTTTACTCGAGTCCATTGAAATGAGTATCAAAGTGTATAAATCCTCTAATGAGATAACCATGATAACTTTAAATCTAAGGACCAGTTGTACCCATCTCGTATGAGATTCTCATAGACTAAACCAAATGGGTTCTCATGGTGAGTCAAGTCCAAGTGATATATTCTCTAACATAAATCACCTAAGTGCTAGTTTTGGCATCACCATGTCAATAAGTGTGAAATCTTCTACTCGCCATCACATAGCATAAGCATAGTACTCATAAGTCTATTAACATATAGTCAACATCCATTCTAGGCAATGCTATGACTTGAGACATTTATCGATATCATTTATATGTATTAGTGTTTATCTCATATCTTTCAATCATTCACTATTGCAAATGTCTATCATAAGGACTTCTATCTAATTCTATTAAATTAATAAACATAAAAATTATTAAAAAGACTTCTTTATTATTATTGAAATAAATGATGCAATAATACAATAACTCAAACTCATCTAAACATGATTGGATTTTGAGCACTTACACTAACAACAACATCATATAGATCTTTTAAATTCATAAAATCAAGGACATCTAACCACCGAGCCGATACAACACTTACTTCCCAACATAAGAAATGAGAGTCATATTATTAAAAACCCAACCAATATGAAAATTAATTTTGAAATGATTTGCCATCCTGTGGATAGAAACACCAACTAAAAAACCAACGGATTTGGGTTATGTAATTTGAGTGCTTGAAGGTACAAGAGTAAGGGTTTTTGGGATATTTTCTTGAAGGTTCATCTCAAGAGGTTTGGGATTTTAAATTTCAAGGATTAGGGATAGAGAGGGGTTTAGGTTTTCACTTGCATAACTATATCAATTGCTTCGGGATAGAAAGAGAGAATGAGGTAGAAGGGTCCATGGGTTTAGGAGATGAGAAAGAAGGAGTAGATGAAGAAAAAAAGAAGAGAGTATATGTGGGTTTGATTCGGAAAAAAGAAAGAAGAAAATGAAAGAAAAAGAAGGAAGGAGAAGAATGAGGAAGATGAGAGGATCTATCATTTCGATTATGAGGGAAGAATGAAGATGAAGATGAAGGAAAAATAAGGATCCGTCGTTTCAATTCTAAGAAAAAAAGAAAAAGGAATGGATAGTCTATAGAAATGAAGACGGATGAAAGATTGGGGAATTTGAAAGAATAAGGTATCGTAGATAATTCAAATGAATTTGAAAGGGTGAGGGTTAATTTGAATTAGGGATTGAGGATTTTGTTGTAATTGGAGTATATATGGAAGTTTTGTAACCGATTTTTCATGTCGGTGCTTACATGGAATCCTACATGGCGCATTGAGTTCGAGCTATCATGTTTCGTCACTTGCTATGTCGGCATTAATTGAATTTTTGGTTGAAAAATTAGATGGATGCTAAAATTGTTATCGGAGGCTTAGTTGGTGATCTTTTTATAATTTTTAAAGAACGAGCTAAAATCATTAAAACGTGTATAGTTTAAGATTTTTTTGATACATTAAGCCTTTTTAATATTACCTAGGAGTGTTGATTTACATAATTAATATGTTGTGTTAAGACTATGCCCACTTGCTTTTGCAGTCATCTTGACCGCAGTTAACCACTCGCCTAGCCTTTCGGAAGCATGTTTTTCATAATCTAAATTTTAAAAAGCACCAAGACTAATTATTCATCTTAACGGATTTTCCTTAGGAATGAATTCAGGTTTTGTCGTAGAGGACAATTAGGCCTAAACATTTTGTTTTTTTTTTCTTTTTTGGTTAGAAGCTTATTAAATAGAACAAGATTGCTATATATTTATTTTCTCAAGCGGTACATCTCTATCTCTTAGGTCTTTCCAAATATGATCAACGGCAAATACTATAACTACATGCTCATTGCTATATATACCAAATTTTTTTACTTTAGAATTTAATATTTATAAATTTTTCAGCACATCCTCTTGAATTATTCTTAATATTATAGCTTGATTTTTTAGGTGAAGAAACTAATATCCTCCTAGTTGATTACTCATTTAAATGATCAAGATTTTAATTAAGCTTAAGATTTCTTAGATTTTGAGAGGCCACTAAAGCATAATTTCTTAATCTAATTCTATCTTTTCTTAGGATTTGATTAATCTCTCTAGGATAATAGCCCCAATCTTTTAACTCTTCACAAATTTCTCTAGAAGCTCTTATAGCTACTTGTAAATCTCTTCTTAGTTCAGTTATCCTGGGAACTTCAAGATTAGCATCATACAAAGCTATCTAAGCAGATTTTTGTCCTTCATTTAGCATAACAATGTGATATTTTAGATGAAAAACATCATTATAAATATCTTCACTCATCGAGATTTCTTACTAGTACACGGACTATATATATAATGTGGTATTTTCGGATTAGTTTTCGCATTAATTAAAACTAAATCCATCAATTCTTAGGCTAAGCCAGTATTTGAATTCAAAATTAAGATATAACATGAGAGTAAAGGAAGTTTTACTTCTTCTTTTTTTTGTTTAGCTAAATTGTAACATATTCTTTGAACTTAAGTAAAAAAAAAAAATACCATTTGAATTAAAAAATTTCCAATTTTGTTTCTAAATAATATATTTTTTAAATTTATCATTTCTATTATTATTTCATTAAAAAATTTGACAGAAAAATTCTTAAAAATCCTCTCAATTCCTCTCTTTTCTCTATTAGTAAACATGTATTTCTTAAATTGATAGAGAAAAAAAAAAAAAAAAGAAACTGAGAGGATTCTTACGAATTTTTCATTATGTCTCAACGGTACCTTAAATGGAGGAGACCCATTCAAAAAATCATATTATTTAGAAAGTAAAATTAAGAATCTTTTAGTTGACAAGGTGTTTGTATTTTCTTTATTTCAGACGATATTTTACTACTTAGCCTTTTTTTTTTTTTTTTTTTGCCTACTTAAGTTTTGGTAATAGAATAACAATGCATAACCATTAAAAAAATACAGAATAAGATGATAACGAATAATATCATACTGTATATTAACATAATATCTGGTTCCATGACATGATAAAACATATATTTTCTTCAAAATTTAGTGTGATAGTTTTGGAGAATTAAGTCTACAACCAGTTTGATTAAATCATCAAAAGTATATGACTGAAACTTACGCATGCATTTAGCTGGAGCAATTAAAGGATGAGTTCAAACATTTTCATGCAAAACAAAAATTGTCAAAAAGTTTCTTACATTGGCAAAACGTTTTCTTGTCGTCAAACTTTAATTCATTTGAACAGTTTATTCTTCTAAATATGCCATGTCAATGTAAAAAAATATATATTCTTACAGTATTATTTAATTTCTATTGACGTACACAGTAAGAAATGAGATGCGTGCAAATAGGCAGAGTCCAAGGTCTCGCTGAAAAAAAAAAAAACATCAAATTTTACAGAGAGACAAATAGTTGGCATCAGAAGCAGCCAAAGCTCCTTAAAATCCGGCTAATCAAAAGAAAAACATGCTCCTTAAACTCCGGATTCTATCAATCAGCGGGTAGGCACTGTTATTACTCTTGCAATAAATGGTAACTCGCAATCGCCATCGCCATTGTTTTTATACACCATGTTCTTTATTTAAAACTTTGTCCCTGCCACAAAATAATACTGCAGCAGATGCATGAATTGTAAACTTTCAACTAATAAAGAACGTTAGAAGGGTAATTGCAGCTAAGTGCGTAGATTAAGTTAGGCCACAACTCTAGAAGCAAAATCTATCCTGCAGTAATTTATGAAGTCCTATTCTTATCTGAAAAAAGATACAAAGGATTGCCTGCTGTTCTCAATGCACATAGTTTGAAATGAACCAAGAATAACATTTCTAAACTGATCCGCAAACTTCATTTTACAAGATCTCAGCTCAATTAAGCTTCCATTCCACTTCAGTTGGGGTTGCCTACAAAGTTGCAGGTTACAATTATAGCAAGTATTAAAAAAAACAGGGTATATATATATATATATATATATATATATATGACCAAAGCTGCTAAATCATATTTACAATTGGTCAGAGAGAAGCTGAAAGTTATTTCACAAGAAGTTCATGGGCTGTTTGGCATCTGTTTTCTAACAGAAAATGGCAATCGCTTTACAGGAAACAACTATTATCTCGCGTTTCAGTAGTCACAGCGGAGTTAATCACCATTAGGAGGAGAGACTATGTCTGGAGCAGCAGTTATGGCATCCAAATTGTTATCTACACCATTACCCTACGAAGGAAAGATAACATCCAGCATGAGTGACATGGAATATGCAACAACAATAAAGAAATGCAAGAGAAAAATGCAAATTTTGAATTCAAAGAGTATCTCACTCCCAGTAAAGAAATAAAAGAAAAAAAAAACCAAAAAAAGGACTTCAATGAATGAGAAAGTGCATATTTTCCAAAAGGCATGCACCTGCACGACTGCCTTCATAGATGATTCCTGAATACTCATGCTTGGAACCTTTGAAAGGTCTCTTAAAATACCCTGCAAAACCCACACTTCCAATTGAGATGACAACAATAACTACTGCCTATTATTTTGGAGATCCTTGAATATTTTTTAAAGTCAGTTACCATGCCTTTACATGAATGGTTTATGAATTGAAGATTGCATGGAGAAATAAGATGTCAAGCATCAATTCAAACAGATCATCAGGTATGAAACCTTATCAGTCAGAGACCTGAATTTAACACTGTAGATTTATTGTAACTTGGCCAACAGAGATGTCCAAAAAGACAGAAGGCATTGATAACCTGGCATAAATGCCCATGAACTAGTTTCATGTACATTTTTGATACAATCTAAGCCAAATATGTCAGATAAATTAATCAAGCATGCAGTAATTGCAATCACCATGCCTCTACCTGCAGTACGTTCACAAATTAATTAAAAAGGGCAAAAGAAATTTACACACCTTATTGGCCCACTTGAGTCCACATGCATTACAAAGAGTTCTTGGACCAGCTGGCCCACGACGCATCATTGGAGTGGACTTTGAACTGATTCCACAATGAGTACATCTGCACAAAGCATCAGGGAAAGTCTATTTTATACAGGATATTCGCCTTTTTATGGAAATGACACAATGTTAAAGAAAAAGATGCTTGTCGATTAAAGCAATGAATCAAGACTCACAAAGTTTCCAGCAAGCTCTCATCTTGTCCAGCACCCTGCATTCCACTGCAGCCAGAAGAAGCCGAGCCCCCTTCATCAGAATTAGCCTTGGATGAAGTAAATTGACCCTTCTTACGCTGCATCCTGACAGTGACCAATATATTAGAAGAAAGATATAATGGAAAACACTTAAGAAAGCCCGCCAAGTAAATAAAATTAGAGAGAGAGAGAGAGCTCCAAGTGGTGTTTGATTCCACATTAAACTTCCAGTGATGATTTCCATTAAAACCAAACAAGTCTTTCCTAGATGACACGGAATCAGAAAAGCATGTTGATAATACCTGAGAGCAACTTCCTTCCGCACATTATAACGAATTTTCTTGTCAAAGCACCGCTCTTTTCTCTTCTCCCTGAATCGGCTTAATGAAGCAGCTCTGTGAGGTTGAATTGACCTTCCAGTTCCCGACAAGTCACACATGCCCTAGGAGAGATTTAGTTGCACAATGAAGGTAAGAATAAAGCGACACCACATCAATAAATATAAAAAGATATATATAAAAAATGCATCACAAGAGGACTTACATGGTTAAGCGCCCTTTGGTTAAGAGGGACAGTCCCCATGGCAGGAATGCCAGAAGGGATTTCATATCCACCCAAAAGCAACAATACTGCCTGCACCTGTAAAAATCATCCACATTTTAACCCTGAATTACATATCCAGTTTGTTTTCATTGACAAATCCACTACAACATCAAAAGATGTCGAATTCACAAATATTAACTGGTAAGCACACTACTCCTTTTCTGCAATCAAAGAAGCAGTAAATTGGACTGCTTGAACGTTCAGACTATGTTTGAACACCAAACACTGAAACACATGCATACAGAATATGAAAGTCTTTTTAAACTTGAACCAGGACGTGGCTCAAGTCTGATTAAAAAACCAAAAATTAAAGAACACCAATTTGATTTAACATCGAAAACAAGAACAAAATGATCACAAATTTCACCAATTCAGCAGACATCAAAACACAATCAATTTAGTCTGTACCAAACCTTCTTAACAAAGTAACATAAAACCTACAATACAAAAACCTTACAAAAATTCAACTATTCCAACCAAAACCAAAACAGAAGTAACAAAATCAAGCAAAACCCAGATTCCAAATCCAACCAAAAAAAACATGACTGTAATCATGTCTGGAGAGACACAAGGACTAACCTTGTCAGGAGAGACAGCATCAAAAACATAAACTTCACCCTGAAAAGACAGAGTGAGTTGGTCATTATTTGCAGTCGCCAAGCCATAATCAGGCCCACCACCACCACCACCATTAGTACTCATATACATATCACTTGCTGCTACACCCTCCCCAACACCACCACCATCTTCAAATTGAATGTTGCTGGTGTTATCTACTGACTCCTCTCCTCCACCGGCAACATTATTATTATCTTCATCTTCCTCATCTAATATTTGGGCTTCTACATGATTCATTTGCACTGCTGCTGCTGCTGCTGTTATGGTATAGACTGGTGGTGGTTGTGCTGTTGCTGCTTCCACATTTGAATTAGGCATCTCTTTTGCATTTAACGGTGGTTTAAGAGAAAACAGCAATAAAAAAGAGCTTATAAATTAAATTTCAAAAAGTAAAAACAACCCAACATAGATAAAGTAGAAATCTATCGAACTATGGAATAAAGTTAGGATTTTTAATGCAGAGAAACCCTAGAATTTGGGGATTAAAATTGGGCTCAGTGTGTTTGGGTGAAGAAGAAAATGTGAGAGAGAAAAATACCTGAAAGAGATTAGGGGTGGAAAATGGGGCATTGAAATTGGTGCTAATTACGGTTTTGTGCCACTGGGGGTTAGTGGCCACTAGGACAAGAGTGCATGATTTTAGGGTCAAAGAAGTTGGGGAAACCTAATTTAATTCCCAATCTATACAGTCATTATCAATTGAGTCTTAAAACGAAACATTTTATCAATCAAGTCCCAAATGTTTTACACACTTCTCAATTGGATTCTTATATCAGTGTTTGTTAATGTTTTTATCTAATATGATACTTTATGATGTAAAATGGCATCATCTAGAAAAACATTTGATGAAAAAATTAATAAAAAAGTCAATTAAGAAATGAGTTAAAGCATTAAATTGTTCTCATATTCTATCGATGTATTTACTTAGTTTATATATTCTTATTTTGGTTTGTTATGTCTTGTAACTATATTTTCCTAACTTAATATATTCATCGATTAAGTAAAAAATAAATTATAATTAGTTTGGAATACATGACATGCTTGTCGGGTGATATGTATTCAAAATTTAATTCAAGAACAAAAGGATTTTTTTGAATAAAAGAAAAAGTTATAAATAAATTAATTTTTTGGACATGTGTCACCTTACAAGCATGTCACATGTTCTAAATTGATTATACTTTGTTGTTTGGTTAATCAAAAAACATATTAAGCGAAGAAGAATATATAGTTGAGGAATATAATAAATCAAAATAATAGTATAATGACATACTAAACCAAATCGATATAGTATACAGACAATTTAGTGCTTTAATTCATTGAAAAATGAAGGAAACTTTGGGACATGATAGATTAAATATTTTGTTTTAGGACTTTATTGAGAGTTGGTAATAAAGTAGGGACTAATTTAAGTTTCTCCGACAAGATAACAAGAGGTTGGTATGGGTAATGTTTACCAATATCATTACAGGTTGCGGTGGAGACTGGAGACATGGAGGTTTTGCTGGACTAAACTGAAATCTGGCAAGAAAGGATTGGATAATGGGGTACTTGCTACGTCTTTTTCTTTGTTTTCTATTTTCTATCCAATGGAAAGTATATCTTTTGCTGCCATTCTTTTTTGGTAAGTGGCACAGGCACTTGCCAAATTTGTGTATTGTTTTATTAATCATATCAGGTTTTGAATTGTTTTTTATTTATTAAGAATTTAAAATTGTAAAATCATATCACACTAAATAAATTATATTAAAAAAAAAACCTCTAATTACATTTTTTTTTTTTTTTTTTGCAACCCAATGTCAATAGCTAGAGGCTAGAGACATGAAGAATAAAGGTTGATTCTTGGTTATGCTCCACCAAGCACATTCTCCTTGAGACTGATGCTCCACCAAACATAAATAATCTTCATTTGAACCTCCTCTTCACATCTACAACTTTTTTGTTGTTTTTAGTTGATTATTAAGGTGTTATTCATTTGAGAATTAGTATTTTTATTGTTTTTTATCTTTATATTTGAGGGAAAAATAGGGAGAGATTATTGCTTTTAGTAGATGTTTCAAGTGTTGTTCATTTAATAAGTTAGTATTTTCATTTTTTTAAAAAATTAAAAGATACTTAAACTTGCATTTTTTACAATTTTTTTTTAAAAAAGGATTGAAAATTATAGCGTGCATGCATAGCAATGATTGAGGAACATAAAAGGAGTATATACTATATATAATAATCCATTATCATACAAAAGAGTGCCTTTTTTTTTCTCCTAGTTTAATTTAAGATGAGATCATCCTTTCGTCTCAAATAAAATAAAGATGAGATCATCATTACATTACAGCAAAGGGATAGCAACCTCAAATTCATTACAAAATTAAGAGACTTAATTTTATTTATATATATATATTTGCTTAAGCCTAAAGAAGTTTATTTCTAGGTTTTCCTTAAAAAAATTAACAAAGAAAGGAAAAGACATATTTAATTATACAGCTGGACTTGTCTTTTCATCAACCCCAAAATGTTTTTTTTTTTTTTTTTTTTTATGTGCCAAATAAACAGTAAAACACAAGCCTCCAAAACTAAGATAAGAAACTGTAAGGAGAAGATACTTCATAGGGAAAGAGAAGAGAAAGAAGAGAAGCCATGAATGTTGAAGAAGAGGTAGAGAGACTCAAAGAAGAAATCCAGAGACTTGGCAAGGTCCAACCTGATGGTTCCTACAAGGTAAATTTATGTGTACAAATGCAGGCATATCAGTATATTTGTTCTAGAATTTCAGCTTATGATGTCTGGAAATGCTATGATCCGGATCTTGATGCACCGTGAAACCTATCAATGGTGGATCTGTCGTGCATTTCTTGTTCTGGGTTATTCATAAAACTTAGATCTAGCCGCTGCTTCTTGTTTTCTTGCCTTTTCTTTTCATGTTGGTTCTTTTGTTCCATATGTATAAAAGTTGCAGAATTTAAAGTTCAACCGGTTTGGTAGTTGAAGTTTTTTTCCCATAAATCTACAGTATATGCCTTTTTTACATTTGAAGATTATTTTTTGAAAGAACCCAGCATACAGAATTCTCTGGTCCTTGAATAACAGGTTACGGGCAACAAAAACATAGAACAATTTTGCAGTTTCTGCAAAATTGTTCAGATCTAGTCTTCTCATCTTTCCTCTACCACTTCAAGCGCTATGAATAACTCAGCATTTATGGGTCCATGTTTAGCTACTAGAGTCTTTTCAGGGATCCCTTGTCGTGCCAGAAGCAGGTTTTCTCCTTCCATGGCATGATATTTATCATGTTAATTGGCATTTGGCTCGATATGAATGTGGCCTTTTTGTCTAGCAACTCATCTTGATCTTCATACATAGTTTGCGACTTTATTCATTTGATTCCAGTAGTTAAAGAAAAGAACTAGCTATTCAGGTGTCATAACCTTTTTAGTTTAGAAGATTAAGGATGTTTCAAATCCAGATTTTCGAGCACTCTGAACTAGTTGGGCACTTGGAAAATGCTCTGTTGCTAATGCATTTAAGGCTACGGTAACCGTAGCATACTCAATATATCAAAGGCCCAATTAAAGGAATTAAAGAGTCATAGGACTCATAAAAAGGAAATGAAATTAAATAAGAATCACATTTACTCAAATATTACAAAGTTATACATCATTTGTCTGTACATCCAGCTAATCTACTCTTTCTGCTGCAAATATTGTTTTTTTCATAATCACAACTCTTTAAGATTTACAAAAGAGAAATTGCCCCTGGGCTTGTACCCTGCATCCTTGCTCTCTTGCGCTTTCTCATTTTGATTGAGCCATTCAACATTACAAAATCCTTCACAAAAACCAAATCAGCTGTACCAAGAACACACACACACCCCTAGGGTCGATTCTTTAAGGTTTTCTCCAGGTCACAATTGTTTGGCCATACTCAAGTTAAAACATAAGGCATTGCATACAACTTACCAGTTAGGTTCATTAATCCATAAAATACAGGTTCAAATTGTTACTGATTATATATTTTCACTTTGCAATGTCTATTACTATCTTTTTCTTCTCCGATAAACTCAAGGAACTAAATCTATATTTGCAGTCTGTGTGCACAAGCATGCTCATGAATATCAAGAAACCAGACCTACGAAGTTGGAATTTATATTTTTCTATTCCTGTAATAAGAACTTAACATGCTGTTTTGTCATCAAATTTCCCCCATCATAACTTTGTTTTTTGCTTTGTAGGTTACTTTTGGTGTGTTGTTCAATGACGATAGGTGTGCAAACATATTTGAAGCACTGGTAGGTACACTAAGAGCAGCAAAGAAGCGTAAACTTCTTACATATGATGGTGAGTTGTTGCTACAAGGCGTCCATGATAATGTGGAAATCATTCTCAAGGCAGCACCCATCCCAGCATCAGAAGCAGCAACTGATTCAGTTGTAAAGAATTAAAAGAATGTCATCTTGTTGTGTCATAAATCATTTTGTATGAATAATATTGTTATTCTAATTAAGACATCATTAGATGTACCTCTGTTTGCCTTCGTTTGCAATATATTTACATGACAAAGGGGTGGATAAAAAAGTTGAGCAAAGATGAAAGTATAAAGTACTTCTCCTTTAGTTTGGTTAAGATATATCTCTTCTTTCCAAGATCATGTATTCGTCCACTTCTTCTCATTATAAAAGAAATTCGGGTTCAAACCAATGTGTAAAAGAAAAGAAGTACTCGTCTCGTGGGAATTGAGGGGACATTTACTGTTTGATTATTTGTCTAATATTCAGACTCCCATCTCCTATTTCCTCTTCCTCTAATATTCAAACAATTAAAGGGATGAATTGCTTTCTGCTTAACACTTATAGTGCAGAGAAAGAATGCTTCCTGTCACTCCACTATCATCCTTTCCGATTTTCATCTTCATTTTTTATCCTCCAAATCAAAGATGGTGTTAACTTGGTCGAAATCTGACCCCAAAGAGAGCACCTTATTGTATCTATTGTTTATAATTATTTTGCTATATATTTATTTGAGTAAAAAAAAGTCAACAAACTCTACTAAAGCAAGCACCGTGAATGTGAAAAAATAAAAAATAAAAAATAAATGAGTGAAGTAGACCCCATGTCCTTGTATTGTATTGTCCATTTTAACTCTTTTATCAAGTATTGTACAAAACAAACCATGTACTAATCAAAATTAGAATAAACCAGCCTCTCCATCCATTTCCGTTACATGATTGATCAGACCTTGGACGAAAAGGCTGATATGTCCCAACTTTGAAAGTACAAGATTTGTTTTATACATTACATGAAAAAAAGAATTAAAATAGACAATTCTGGAGAGTACAAGGACACTGTATTTCACTGACAAAAAAAAATGTTATTCATCCATAGACAAAAGAGAGAATCAATTTCCCAGTCCTTCCTCATTAGGATAATATTGAACCATATGCCAAAAGTTTAATCAAATCAATAATCTTCAAAGAGTAAATGTACTTTTTTTTTTCTCAAAAGCTCCAATTAATTAATAGCATATACACTGTATTTTCTTTTCTATATACAAAAATCATGAACTCAACACGCATTTAGCTTCTCATCCTCTGAACTTGCCACAACTAAAAGCTTAAAGTCATGCACCACATAAAATTAAACATTCAACAGATTTACAAGTTCCTTTCCAAAAAGCCTTGGTTCAATATTTTATTCTCTAAATACCATCTATCCAGAGGCAGAGGCTGGAAAAAAAGAAAATAACCATAAAGGGGTGAGGTGAAGAGGCAGGGGGTGGCCTCCCAAAGTTTCCTCCCAATGCAATGCAGGCTCCTCAATTTTTAATAACAAAAACTAAAATGTAATCTCCTTCTTTATTCTTCAGATTTAATTTACATAAATTTGTCTTTGTACAGTGGATTCCATTCACATGAATTTGAAAATTTATTTCTTACCTTTTTCCTCTTGGGATTCTCCATGCAATCAAATCTGAAACCCCAATTCTGTCTCTGACCCAATGAATATTTTAAATAAAGCCTTCTTGCAAATTCAAGATTTCATTTTATCGACGGTAGGACTTTTTATTTTAGCCAACCAGCACTGTTTGGTAAAACAAAAGTTGGTTTGAGATCCGTGTGTGTCTCATGCCAACAGCTCCAAAGAGTCTTTTAGAATCTCCATTTTGGAGTTTTTTCTTCTAACTTTTATGCCAAAAGCTACTTTAACAGAATACATTTTGTTTCTAACCACAATCGTTATCACTGTTAAAGCTACCATCACAACCCAACCTCTAAGCCAAACAGACAATTTAGTCCAACTAATCGCTCAAATACATGTTGATAAATATAAGATCAAGTCGATAATTTATAAAGAAACATATACACCTATGATCTTAGAACGCAAGAGTAAATTATAAATCAGTCCCTCTCGTTTAAAGAAACAAATTAATTAGTTCCCCACCTTTCAAAAACTAATCATTTATTCTCTATGTTTTAATTCGTTAATAACTTAGTCTTTCATTACTTTTCCATTAGATTAGTGATTTTTGTTTCCAAATTACCTTTCTTTTGATGTTTTATTTCTTTCTTTCACCCACTTTCTTCTCTCTCTCCTCAACCATCATGGTGATTTCTCTCTCAATTTCTTCAATTAGTTTCTCTCTCCTCAACTATCACGGTGATCTCTCTCTCTCAATGTCTTCAATTAGTTTCCCTCTCTTCAACTACCATAGCGACATCTCTCTAATTTTTTCAATAAGTTGATAGTTGAGGAGGGATGGGATAGCTAAGGGAGTGGAATAAAGAGAGATGAAACATAAAAAAAGAAGAAGAGAACCTGAGAACAAAAATTACTATCTAATGAAAAACTGATGAACCAACTTAGTTATTGACAGAGTTAAAACTTAAAAGAACTAAATGATCATTTTTAAAATGAGAGGGACTAATTAATTTGTTTCTTGAAACGAGAGTAACCAATTTAATTTACTCTAGAACATAAATCAGCTTAAGTACTCCAAAACAAAAGAAAAACACGATGTTCATTTAAGTATGCATCATACAAACGATTTAAGGAAAAGAAAAACTACAAATTTATAAATCTTCCTCATCAACAAACATTCCATGTATCAAAAAAATGTATAGTTTCAACCCAATAATCCTTCAAAGAGTTGGCAGTATACTTCTAAACCCATCTATCTTTTTCATAGGTGCAAAAACCACAACCACCTACAGGCATTTAATCATTTAAAACTGTCCTAATCCAATTGGGTTTCCACAATTCCTTTACACCAAGTAACCAATAATCCTTCAACAGTGTAGTCTCAACCCAATAATCGTTCAAAAAGTTGAGTCTCTACTTCTCAACTCATCTATCCTTTCTGCTACATGCAAAAACCGTCTTTCAACTCTTATGGTTTAAAGCTGCCACAATCCTAAGGGTTTACCCAATTCCCATACACCAACAAACCGACACTCCTAAGCTCTACACACCGCGTAAGAGTAAATGATTAACAGGTTCAACAATTTCTTTACATGCACCGAAAAAAAAAAAAAAAACATTGGGTCTAGTAAACATTTTCCTCTTTTTTGAAGACTCTGTATGAAGTCCTCCCCTAATTTGGAATGAAGTTGACAAATTGGATTGACAACGCCACCTGTCCTAAACTGAAAATTTGCCAGTTCTTGATGGCACAACATAATGGTGTTAAATTACAAATATAAGTGCAGTACTATGTTCTACAATGCAGATGTATTTTTGGAATTTGTTCTTTTGTGTCTTTATGTAAGGGAGTTTAACCTTCCTGGTCAAGTATTAATCGGTTTGAATCAGTTTATGGAGAATTTTCAGTTGCCCACTGAAACCTGCAACAAGATTACAACACAAGGCATGTTCTTTATCATGTTGTATAAATGTTATTGAACGGACATGTTCCACAATGCTGAGACAGTTTAGTATTTGTATGTTTGTGCCTCATGTTAGAGTAAGTTTCACCTTCCAATTCAAGTGTAAATATGTTTGAATTAAATGTTCCAAGGTCCAATTATGAAATGCGATTATATATATATATGTCTTTGCAAAACAAGGACATGATAAATTGGACAGAAGTAACCAAGGATACGACATAACAAATTGGTTATGAAAACAGATAAGTTCACTGACAATGAAACATATTACTGAATTGCCTATGCCAAAAATAAGGGCTTGGCATAAAAGAAGGCAAGGATTAGTGTACACAATTTGGTGAAAGAAAAGGAAACTAAATAAAGAACTGTGACTTCTTTGTGAAACTAGTTCCAAAAAAAAAAAAACATATTTTTGTCAAGATTGTCCAGTGAGGATAAATGCTTGAAGGAGGCTCTGAGCTGCTTGGGTTTCATCAGGGGTCCCAGATATAACAACAAACCTGTCACTTGTTCCTAAGCGAGGTTCATGCACTATTACTTTGGCACCTGAGATCTGATTGATGAACACCAGAGGATAAGCTGAAGTAGATTTAAGATGAGATGTTATAATGTATGTAAAAGTTTTTTAAGGTGTGAAACACTTTTTGGACATACCATTCTGAATTATTACTGAAACGATGAATAAGGTGCAAACCAAATTAAAAATAATGTAATCCTAATAATCAGGGAGGCTCATTTCTAATGCCCAGCTTCTATACCTGATAGGAAATTAGTTATAGAATATTTCCGTAGGGCTTTCATATTTTCTCAACTTAAGTACAGTTGAAAGATAAAAAAAAATTCAAAGGTATGGTTTTGTTTATGCTTTTTTCATTAAGAATCAAGTTAAAATTATTTAAACCTTTCACTGAGTATTATTTGTCTTTTATAGGTGAAGCCTTGTGTGGAGGAATTTATGGTGCACAATGGTTAAGTGGGTTGTCTCCAAAGAATTTCAATTACCTTGTTTATAGGTTTAAGCATTTGAGGTTAGTTTGGCATCATGATTGTTGACATTGCAATTGTATCGTATTTGTGATTGGCTACTGAGTTGATTGGTTATAATAGTGGTGGGTATCAAACTGATATTATTGTGCCTTCTCTCTTGTTTCAAAATTGAGTTTTGTGTAACATGAAAGTTGGTCCTTTTTTACTTCAACAACTGGTATTATTCAAGTTGCTGTCTTTTTACATCTAATAAGGAGGTTGCATTTTACTTGTACTTTATAGATGTAACCTTGCGCCTCAAAACTTGTAGGAACTTTTCTATATGGTTGGCCTCAAGTTGTTAGGCTAATCCAATTCTTCATGTAGATCCTAAGTTACGAATATTGCATTGATAATTCCTATTGTACCCATAAGAATAGAAGCACCATTAATATATTGGCACAAAAAAAAGTAACTTCCCATAAACTAGCAAAAAAATTAACTTCCAAAAGTTAAAAGGGGAAAAAAAATAAGAAATTAAAATTCTGATCAAGCAAGCTAGGGAGAGAATATATTCCGTATCTCATTAACCAGAATATTCTGGTCAAGGAAAAGATGGCCCATTGATGCTTGAGAATAAAAATAAGTACTATTCTTTTGATGCTTTATAAACTCAGTTCACTGCATCAACATTCTTTTCCTCTTCAAAATAATGGGAAAAAAAAATCTAGAAAGCCTTTGGGATATCAGTGTGTCAATGAGAACTCAATTCAATGAGTTATTCATATTGATTTACTTGTTTAACTATCTTGGACAGCACAAGGACAGAAGAACCAAAATTGACATACAAATACAGATAAAAAGTGCATACCTGTCTCAAACGAGCTAGATTGCTACCATTCTTCCCATATACAGAGCCAAAAGCATTTTCAGGAACTATGATCTCTACAGTTGTATTTGTAACAAAAGCAGACTTGCCTCCACTGCATACCAGAGGAAAGAGTCACCAACTCATAAAGTGCAAGTGACCAAACAGTTTTAGATGACTGCTATGGGAGAATGCAATCACATTTCAAATAATAGTAATGACTTATTTATGTCCTATAAATTTTGGGTTAAAATGCCTGAGGTTTTAGCTAGGGATCAAGATTTCCTATTTTTCAGTGTTGCCTTCCTCCGTTCCCATCTACTAAAGTTGCACTAAATCTAATTACTGATTAAAACACGATATCCACAATGATGAAACTCAAGTCAAGTAAACCCAATCCCAAACCAGTCAGAGTCGCCTACGTGAGTCCTTTCTTTCCATTCACTTATCTAATTGGCTCAAGTTTCTAAGAGTTGTGATATTGAATCCTTGGTGACACTATTTTGGTCCAACTCTTCCTCTTCTCACTCCTAATGCAATTCAACAATTTTTATAGCAGATGCTATTTAATACAAGAGTAACAGTCTTATATTTTTCACAGACCAAGTAATGCGCTACTAACCTGCCATGCTCTAAGCCAGGTTTAAAAGAAGGCAATCCTCTGCTGAGATCTGATATGCCCCGTGGATTTACTCCAGGTATTGTCTGAAATAGATCCCACAAATACAAGGTGGACAAACATTAAAACAAAAGAGGGGAACAGATGAATATTAATATCCAACAGGGAGGAAGAGAATACCTGTGATGCCCATAGCCTTGGTGAAGGAGGACGATCTAAACTATGTGAAAGTCCAAGATGATCCATACTCTGTGTTATAGCAGTTCGATGATTTAGATTATGAGAAATACCCACAGTTGGCTGCAAAATAAAAGAGGCAGAATCCCTCAATGGTTCCCTCAATGGATCCCTCAATGGATCCCTCACTGGTTCCCTCAATGGATCCCTCAATGGTTCCCTCAAAGGATCCCTCACAGTTTCCCTCAATGAATCCCTAAATGTATCCCTTAGTGGGTCTCTCAATGGATCCCTAAATGAATCCCTCAGTGGCTCTCTCAATGGATCCCTCAAAATATCCCTCTGTGGTTCCCATGATTGATTCCTCAGCGTATCCCTCATGGCATCCCTCATTGGGTCCATCAATCTCACATAGGGACCGGTCTCAGCTAATACAGAAGAACTGCTCCTTACTCCAGAAGTGCTCAGAATGCTAGAGAAAAGATTATCTCGGAGTTTTCCAGTAACGTGGTATATTGCATCTTTCACGTTCATGAAGTCTCCTATAATCTGTTAAACAAAAAACAAAACAGAAAATGAAAATTTCTACTGTGTTAGAGCAGGCAGGTAAAAGGGGTTTGGGGGTTGACCAGAATAAAGCATCGAACAATTTTTACTTCAAAAACCCAGAATTATTACAAGTTATAAAGACCTCAAATAATAACTCTTGCATTTAATTTCAAATTCATTTCATTAATTGCACCTCAAAAAAGTAAGAAGGGTGATTGTTATCCTTGCACATTTACTGTACCAACTAGAAAAAGAATTGATAAAGACTTCATCGTACCTCTACCACACGATCTGTCTCTGGCACACACTTAGGGTTACGCTGGTCGCCCCCTATTATTTGCATGCTGGTACTGGTTGCCTTACGCATTTCTAAAATTATAGCGCCTTTTTTTCCCAACAAACAGCCAACTTGGCTTGGTGAAACTAGAAGCCTTGCAGTAACTGGGAACCCCTTACTTGAGCCTGGATCTAGACCCTTTTCAATGCCAGACTCCACAACCCTCGAGAAAACAAGTTCAACAGTCTTCTGTGCAGCTGAGTACCGAGACTCAGGGTTCTGCAGGAGAAGAAACCAATGGAATTAGTCATAAGTACTATTTCCTACAAGATAACAGCTGCATGAATAGGAATATGAAAAAGGATACGTAATGCCAAACCTCAGATGCAGTAACAGTGATCAGTCGCTCATCACACTCTGCCACCGTAGGTCCTATGCTTATTGTAGCACCTGTCTCATTCTGAATAGCCTTGACAATGTTGCCACCCTTTCCAATAACGCCCCCAACCCTATCATTAGTACACAGAATTCTGAAAACCACTTGCTGTTGTGGTATACTTGTGTCCAGAGTGCCGACCTTGTGGGACTCCAACGACAAAGGATGAACTCCTGATGCATAATTAATGGAGTTATTTCGTACAGTGGATAGCCCCAAAGAATGCTGTGGAATGGTAGGTAGCCCTAATGAATGCTGTGGAGGAATCTCTACACGCACTTCAGCCAAAGAAACTCTGGAAACTGCCTCACCAGGTTTGCTGCTGGTCACCCTTATCTTATCAACCGGTTGACAATTTTGAAGGCAGCGAGAAACCGCAACAAGTCCTTTCTTTACAGCTGAAACATCCCCTTCAATCTGCAAATACCCAACCATTTCCACACAAACAATAAAAATTCACTCAACTGCTAACGAATTTGTTCCCAGATCACAGTAACAGAATTTAAAGCTCAACAATTGCTCTCGAAAAAAAAAAACAAATAAAACAACAAAAAGATAAAAACTTTGAACTCAAGAACCCTACAAAAACAAAAACCTGATTATAAATTACGATTACCTCAATCATCTCTTCATTAGAAGCTGCACAAGCAGGCAATTTATCACTCAAAACCTTAATTTTACACCCACAATCTTTCCTAATCTTCTCCACTACTCTCCCTTCTTTCCCAATAACCGCCCCAACCGAACTCACCTCCGCCAACAACCTACACGAAACCACCCCACCCGCCACCGAATCACTCTCCGCCGCCACCTCTAATATCCTCTCAAAAACCCTAACCAACGCCTCCTGCCCCTTCGAAACCTCAATTCCACTCTCAATCCCACTAAATACCACCGCCGATTGCGTATTCGCACCAATTATCGTTATCGCTCGATCCGGTGATTCGGGCGGGGCATCTTCTATTCGGATCTTAGCTCCGGTCTGTAGCTGCAAGCCTCTTATTATGCTGCCGCCCTTTCCTATTATGCCGCCAATTCTCGACGCGTGGCAGAGCAGACGGAACGAGACGTGCCCCAGCGGGACTGGCAACGGAGTAGCCGAAGTAGAGGGTTGGGGTTTTGAGCGTTTGTTGGCGGAGAAGCCGTTTGGGTAATCCGGGTTAGGTTCGGGCATGATGGTATTTGTGGAGTAATTTATGGGGCGTTTTGCTGGTGGATAGAGAAAAGAACCAAAACTATTTGCCATTACAAATTTTCTATAGAGAGAAAATTAGCGTGTGATTATAAATTTCTGGCGGTGCAGCGTGTTTTGGTTTTTCTGTGTCTTGGTCAATTTGTCTCTCAGTGTAGAAGAGGTGGTGGGATTGGAAAAAGGTTGTTGCAGCTTCCAAGGTTCGGAAGTCTTTATTTATCTTGTTATCGAAGGTCCTCTAAGTATTGGTATTTGGTTGAATTAAAACCATTACTTTTGTTTCTCAATTTATACCCTTATTGTTCGTTAGTTTATCTAATTGAAGTTTTATTGATTAAATGACTAAAGCTGGATTCAATAAGTGATTACATGATTTAATTAAAGTTTAGATTTTCAGCCATTGGAGTTTTGGTCTAACATTGGGCCTGGATTGGTAATTGAAGGGAAGAAGGAACTCAATTTAAGTGTAGGTGGGAAATAAATGAATCGAATTGACTAAATAAAGTATATGGTTATTTTGATCAAATGTTTCAAAATTTAGGGATCAGAGGTGATTTTTAACTCCTTGAGCTTCGAAGTCGTTAACGTGCGCAGGTGGGAAGACTTAAGAGAGTGGAGACAGTCAAATGATGTCTTGCACGTGAGAGATGCGGTGGCGGGCGGAAAGATTTATGATGACGCGGTGGCGAGACGACTGTGGTCTGCTGAGTGCTGGACCGCTGACTTAAGAGCGGTCTAAACGACATGACATTCTTGAAACGTTAGCCCTGACCTGAGGAGGGTAATTATAATATTTAAGAAAATAATTTTTCTTGAGAGAGAATTTTAGAAAACCAATTTAAGAAATTGTAGTGAATATAATTATTATTGATTTTTTTTTGTAGCATTAATAATAAAGTTAATTTTTAGAATAAAAATGCTTCCTAGCATTTAGTGTTTTCTTTTTTTGGAAAACTAAAATTTTTTTACTAATGAGTTATATTTGATTTATGTGTACACTTTTATTATTTTAAAAGACGAGTTAAATAATATTCTTATCTTTTATTTAGAACAATAATGGGTATAAATGTGTCTTTTATTCTTATAATAAGAAAATGATTCTAAGATAAAGATGAAAAAAAAAACCATAAAAATTTGGAATCTTTTTTAGAACCAAAAGGAAATCCACGTATATAGATTTAGCCTAGCTAGTTGATAATAATTTACTCTCCACTTTATTATTTGGGATTTGAAACCTAAGAGAACTTATAAAAAAGTTTTTTCTTTATATCAATTCATTAATATTTATGTCATGGATGGGTGCTTAAGATTCAATTAATTAAGATATGATTTAATTTTGATACGTCAAAATTAGTTTGAAAATATCTTTAATTATTAAAAGAAAAAAAAGATGGTTGGATTAATGAAGCTCGTAATTGGATACGACTTTAAGATTATGATAAATAAAATTATGTATATATTATTATAAGAAATTAAGACAATTGTTGTAAAACCTCGAAGCCCCAAAAGGGAAGTCGGAGTGCTACGACAACGTCAAACATTAGCAGAGCGCTGGACGCGATTGCAGCACATACGACCAGCGAATGACTAGGTGCACGCGGCACTGTCTTGCGCTTGTCAAATGCGTGTCATTGCCCTATGACTCGAAACTATGCATGGGACGTGCAATGTACAGCGAAAGACATTTGGTTTCAAAGTCTAAGTAAAACTCATTTCGTATCCGAAATTTTTTATCAATGTAAAAACGTCATTGCGCCTCGGAATTTTATTGACGCAAAACGATGTCCAAACGACCGAGCATCTCACGATGACCTAAATCGTCGCATAACGTGACGACTTACTATCATGTGACTTTGTAGAAAAAAAATAAGGTTCTAACCGCTTGAATATTTTACATTGGATACAAAAATGTTAAAGACTATAAAATTAAAAGGACACATGCTTTAGGTAAAATATTTTCATTCAATTCAAAACTAACTTTGTACATACTTGTCTTGATCGTAAGGTTATTTACATTAAATATTTACAAATAAAAATGTGTTATAACATGTAAACATAAGCTAGACATGTATTGTTGCGATCACCTACACCACAAGACATAAAGCTTGAGCAACGCTCGGCAAGTACAACTATGCATGAGTTTATCAAAGCTTATTTTCATGAAGAAATTCATTTTTCTCTTTCGAACATACCCTACCAAATATCCGATTCAACCCTCTTTTAAAGCCTCGACAAAAACCTTAAAACTAGACAATCTTTAGTCGAGGACTAGCCCTCGGGTATACACCGGATCATTCTCATGGGTGCCCTCTCTATGTTCATGCACATGATTTTTTTTCTTACTTAAAATGTGAATCATGAAAACCAATGTCATGCCATGCCATGAATACATGCTTTCAATGCTTGAGCAACAAATATCGTTAACGAATTCAAGATAACATAATTGTGCTAATAGCCTTTACACATTAAGCCAATTCAAGATAAGTTATAATTCATCAAGCCAACATACCAAACATGTCTAAGTTCACCTCAAGCTATTGAAATTCAGAATTAATTCAAGCATAACATGGCGACCATAAAATCAACATTTTGGTAAAAGCACAAGCAAAGCTAGACAAAATTTTGACGGAATATAATAAAGTAATATAAGCATTTCATTCGGCCACAAAGGCACACCAAGTTCAACCCATATTTGTCTAGGGTTTACATGAAAATTCTAAGCTTAGTGGTCAGTCCTAAGTTCACATACAACAAGATTTCCATCCAACACACAAACATAGAAAAAAATCAACTCAACATGTCAAAGAATACCTAAACCTAGGTATTGTAGTATAGTTGAATGAATTACACTTACTTGATCTAGAGATATGAGATAGGAAAATGCTTCAATAGACCACAAGAGACTCTTTTTGCACTTGGTCCGACTCTTAGCCAAAACTCGGCAACAACTACGTTAGGTACGAGTAACTCTCACTCAAGTAATTCATCATTTCCTCTTTTAAAGTTTTCAAATGGCCAAAAAAAATTAAGTCATGGCCTCACTTTCTCTTTATATAGGTCAGCCATGCATTAGAAAAATACTTAAAATTCTAGAGGATGACACCTCCTTGTTCAAGTCACACATGCAAGGTATGGTAGTGGCACCTAGATTTTCACTCAATCAAGAAAAAGGTAAGTCTCTCTTAAATGTTTAATCTATGTTATCAAGTCCCTTAAATCAAGCATAAATCATACTTAATGTGTCCTTATGTGATTTTCATAATAAAAAGACTAATATATCACTATGTATAGCTTGACATAAAATTCGTCAACGAAAAGCTGATGCCACGATAGTGACGGTTTTCATCACGTAACTAAAATATCCGGACATAGTATTTTTCATCAATAAAAAAATGGCATGTCTAAACTTAGTTGTTTTCAATAGCAGTTTCACCTAGCATATAATAAAGCATGGTATTTGGTAGCAAAGCGTAAGTTAAAACATGAAAGTTTCACCTAACATACAATAAAGCATGGTATTTGGTAGCAAAACGTAAGTTAAAACATGAAACTCGTCAATAAAAGCGAGCAAGTCTAGACACACCAATTTTGTCAATGAATAGAGCTTGTCTTAGCGTGGTATTTTTGGTAGTAAAGCCGATACGTCAAGACACTACTCGCTTTCGATAGTGAATCTTGCATATCATGACGTAGTTGGTTTTTGATAACAATCATCCATAAAAAATTTAAACATCAACATCAAGTAAATTAATTAGGCATTAAGCTAAACACACACAAACATGCATATGTTACGTTTTATCGGTCTCAATTGTTACAATCTCCCATCCTTATAAAAACTCCATCCTTGAAATTAACTTACTCAAACAAGCACAGGATACTTAATTTGCATCTCGACTTCCCTCTCTCATGTCGCTTCCTCAATATTGTGGTTCCTCTATGAGACCTTGACCAAGGGTATCTCTTTATTTCATAGCTATTTAGTGTCTTGATCTAAAATTTGAATCGATCCTTCGTTGTAGCTCAAATCTATCTTCAATTCCAATGGCTCAATGCTTAACACATAGTTGGAATCATTGATATATTTTCACGACATCGAAATATGAAACACATTGTGTACAAGCAGCAAGGATCGGTGGTAATGCCAAACGATAAGCCTTATCTTCGTTTGTTCTAAAATCTCTAATGGCCCTACATACCATGGATTTAGCTTTCCTTTCTTACCGAAATGCATCACTCCTTTCATTAATACAATCTTTAGAAACATATTATCACCAACTCGAAATTTTAAGTCTTTTTATCTTTTATCGACCTAGCTTTCCTATTAATCCCGAGTTGCCTTTAATCTCAACATAACTTGGCATACAAGCTCGATAATTTGTTGCACCATCTCAAGTCCAAACGATTTTCTTTCACCAACTTTATCCCAATGTACCAACGACCGACATCTTCTTTCATGCAATGTCTCATATGGTAATATTTCGATGCTAGCTTAATGGCTATTATTATACGAGAATACAACCAGCGATATATATCTCTCTCACTTTGTAGACCACTCCAATATATATACCCATAGCATGTCTTTGAAAATCTGAATCATTCTCTCGGATCGCCCATCCGATCGTGGGTGAAAGGTAATACTGAATTTCATATTCATCCACATGACACGATGCAAGCTTTTTTAAAAGTCGACATAAACCGTGGGTCTCGATTCGATACTATCGACATTAAGATACCGTGCAATTTTAAAATTTCTCTCATGTATAACTCAACATACTCGTCGCATCGAATACATTGACTTCACCGTAATGAAGTGTGTCAACTTCGTCTATAGATCCAAGATAACCCAAATGCCATTTGCCCTTCTTTTAGACCCGCAACCTAAAAATAAGGTCCATTGTTATGAACTCTTACTTCCATTCTGCTATGTCTTGTGGCTTTAGAAAACCTAAGGGCCTTTGGTGCTTAGTCATGACTTGCTGGCA